TCTGATGCATGCTAGAATAGAAGCCCCACTGGAGCATAATGTTTAAGGGAGAGCCCACCAACTCAAATGCATAAAGGGCTGGGGAGATAAAATAAAGGAACTGAAGTTATAACACACGGACAACAGCAGGGATGGCAGGGCAGCGGAGAGCACGCACCGTGAGTGATGGAACTGGAAGCCGCTCAGCTCCAATCTACTGTCAAGTATGAGTCGATTTGGATCTGGTATTGTCAGAAATTCTGATTTTAAGATGCACACAAAATCCTGATTTTTATCTCCAGATTTTTAAGTGATTTAATTTTTCTTAACATAGTGAGGACCAAGTAGATTATGCTTGAGAGCCAAATTCAGGTGTGGACTGCCATTTTGTAACCTCTGGCCTGAGTTGCTTTTATTTCTACCCACTGAGCTCTTGTTTTTCTCTACAACTTGAACTCCCATCCTCTTTTCCCAAGTGGCAGACTCTTATTCATCCTTCAATGCCCAATTCCAGGATGAATTCCACTGTGAACTTATTCTCATTTTCTGCCCCACTTTTTACCTGTCCACTAAAAAAGTAGAAAAAATCCAAACAGAAGGCCAAAACACTGACATGTGGAAAGAGAAAAAACAGATGAGGAAGACACAGAGAAGTTACACAGAGGAGGAATTAGGGCCTCTTAGGAAAGCTACAATCTAGCTGCTTAAAAAATCACTTAAATAAGGAATACTGATGTCATTTGATAAGAATCTAATAAGATGAAGTTTTAAAAGCATAAATATAAAAAAACAAATGTAGGATTATGGCTATATTTTAAAATAACTAGTCAGGCGGGGTGGCTTACATTTGTAATCCTAGCTACTCTGGAGGTAGAAATTGGGAGGATCAAGGTTCAAGAACAGCACAGGCAGAAAGTTCTCACATCTCACAATAAAAGCTATTCATCTATTCATCCCAGCTATTAAGGAAGTGTAAATAGAAGGATTGGGCCTAAATTCAAGACTCTGTTCAAAAAACAAATAAAGCAAGAGGGCTGGGGGTGTGGCTCAAGTGATATAGCACAGTACCTGCCGAACAAGTACAAGACCCTAAGTTCCACCAAAGGGGAAAAATAGTTTTAAAAAAAAATGCCTGGAGGTTTTAGCTGACTGAGACTTCAGAGTGTCAGTCATGAACCAAAATTACCACCCAAAAGGCAAATGTCTTCATAGGTCACCATGTTAGAGATGAAGTGTCAGGACTTTGAGCTGATCAGACATTACTAGTCTTCTGACTGCTGCTGAATATCAACTTCTACAGGTCAGAGAAGACTCCGTATGACCTTGGGTGAGCTGGTGGGGCGAGAACACAAAGCCAAATCACAGGGAAAAATGGAATGAACCTGGAATGTTTGTCCACAGCAGGAAAGACCTGGGTGGGCAGTCAAGATGTCCATTCGAGCAATTCACAGGTTTCTGTGTGGCTTGGATTTATGTGGCCCTCAAGAAGGTGACCAGACCCATGAGCAAAAACACCGTAAGATCTCCTTTCAGCATCAGCAAGATTTTCTGCTGATTGCAGTTGTCCTTGATTGGAAAGAGCTACCCTGAGAGGCAACAGCACTCTTCGTTGAGTAACATCTAGTAGAGGATGATAAAAGGACTGAAATAGAGAGCCCAGTGGACATTTATTGTTTCATTTCTCTCTTCTTTTTTTAAGGGCACTCCAATTTTTCTTGGGGAGCCATCCCTCATCCATTCTTGGTCCCATGGGTCAATGGAGTTGAGTGTACATCTGACTCCAGAAGTGAACATCTTTCCTGGGCCTGTTATGGTGCTGCATCTCCCTGGCCACAGGTGCAGCTTCAGGAGCACCATTGTGACCTACTCTGGGCCAATCAGAGCCCAAAGGACCCAAATCTAGGAAAAGGGACGTAAAGCAGGAAAGATAAAGCCTGGAACTTCTGGGAATATCCTTTTGTGCTCCAGAAGCCCCCATGCCTGAAGGCAGGCTCATCTTAGAAGAGATGGAAAATTCCCTTTTTTCAGCAAAGTGGGTTAAGCTGTATTTCTGTTGTCCTGATCATTCCAGACAGCCTCTGAGATCTTGTTCAGTTCCACTCTGCTATGACTGTTCCACATCTCCCACTCAAAGCAAGCCACCTGTATGGGCCTCTGGAATTTGAAGTGCTGCCTCTAGTCATAAGAACTGAGGCCCTGTGAAAGGAGTAGTAAAGAATTGTGAAAAGATACGTTATTAAGTCAGACTGCATTCTGCATTGGGGAAACGCTGGAGGCAAGGCAGCTGCCCCAGGCCCATGCCAGATTCGTGGGAAGCACATCTGGCCTAGAAGTCACTCCTACCTCTTATAGCCTCACTGCCAGAGCTAGATGTGGTAAGGTGGTCAGGAGCACCTACCTCAAGCAGGAGGACCCCAGCTCAGGCATGGGGAGGGCCTCCATTCATAGGAATCACTAGTGAGTTTCCATCTAATTAGCACCTACTGGATACCATGCCTGTGCTAGACACTTAACCTACCTCTGCTTGTCAAAGCAGCCCATGAAGTAGGCATTGTACCATCTCCAATTCCCAAATGAGAAAACTGAGGCTTGGAGAGGCCTGCCAGGTGGTCAGTGTGAAGCAGTTCTGAGACAAGCTCCAAAAGCCCAGCCATGCTGATGGTAAGCGGCTAAAGCCACCAGCCTGGGCTCTCCTCACAGCTTCCCGAGGCTTTCCTCTTCCTCCTTCTCCCGAAAGTGGGGTGACTGGGGACCCTTCTCCCAGCCTACCAGAGTCCAGCCTCACAGTGGCTGTGAGCTCTCCTTACGTAAGGAGGCATGTGCAGGCTTCAGCTCCAAGGTTATATATAACTGATGCGACACAAAGGGGCCGCGCCAGGCTCAGTAAGCCAGCCAGGCTCTGTCCCTATCACTCTCTTGGCCCACAGGGGCTGGGTCATTTCCTTTGTTCTACAGGACAGGCCTGGTAACAAGACAGCCAGGAGCTCAGCTGCAGACATTTTTTCATTATTTTCTACCCTGTTAACCTCCATCACAAGTTAGGCTGCTGTCAGCCTAAATGAGAACTGAAAAGATTTATCTCACTTGTCCCAGGGCTCAGCTCAGGAAAAAGACCCTTCATTTCCTAAAGGCCCTGATGACCCTTTCTCTGTGAGTCACTCCCACCCAGGAAAAAAGCTATGACAGCAGCAGCCAGCGGGGGCCCCATAATGGGACCAAGAGTCCAAATAGGCAGGCATCTGAAGCACTTCAGCTGAACTGAGTGATTCTTTTCTGTGCCCTGTATTTACCTTCTTAATTATGTTTGCTTATGCAAATATTAAACTTAGACCACATTTCATAAATGCAGCCCCAGGAGACCAGAAGCACATTGTGCGGTGGGAAGAAATTAGCCTGCAAGTACAATTTTGCTATAGAAGTAATCCTCAAAGTGGGCAATCCAAACAGAGACCATGGAGAGACGATTATATTTTAAATCAGCTTGTCCCCTTCCTTCAGCTTCTAGCAATCCCAGGTCACCAGATCCCTAAAGTTGGCACCTGACAAGAAGAGACGAACTAGATTACCACTAAATAAGTGTCATGGCCAGCTTTCACAGCCCCTGTCACCAGCTGTCCATGCAGAACTTGTGGATAACAACCCTGTTCACCCTCCAAACTGCTCTGGGGGTATTTCTACCCATTTCACAAATAAGGAAACTGAGGCACACGGGGGTTAACAAGCCCAAAGACACACAACTAATAAAAGATGGAACCGGGATTGTGAATCTAAGAATTTCAGAAATCTGGACCCAGAGGTCACGCCCCATACCATTTTCCAATAATGCCTGCATCCTCCATGCATGTCATTTGTTTAACCTTCACACTGTCCCTGGGAAACACTGACTTAAACATCACTGTAGACAGGAGGATGAGGCTAAATGCTATTTAACAGAAAAGGAAACTGATGTTCCCAGGAATGAGTTCAGATCTACACACAGTTGCACAACACTTCCAGTGTGCCAGGCATAGTGCACGGAGCTGAGGTAACAGAGACCCAGGGTCTAAAAAGTGATGGCTCCGTATACTGCTGTCTCCTGGACGTTTATGTGGGTGACACCTTCCCAAACGCAGTGGACACTCCACCTAAAGCCTGGACAGTGAACCAGCTTTGACCCTAAAATTCCTATCGCATAAACTGATCCTAAGAAAGTAACAATGGATGTGACAAAGAAACTAAAGGCAGTGTTTTATTATTTTTTTTGTAAGAGTGAAATATTGGAAGTATTACCCAAATGGTCAGCAATAAAAGATTAGGTACATAAACTAGGATACAGCTATATTATGAAATGCTCTGCAATCATTCAAACGTTATATAGATTATATATAATATATATTATATATCACATATATATTTGGTGGTACTGGGCTTTGAACTCAGGGCTTCATGTTTGCAAGGCAGGCATTCTACCACTTGAGCCATGTCTCCAGCCCCGGAAGTATATTTTTGACATGGAAAAATTATGTAATAGAGCATTACAAAATTTGTTAGTGGCATAAGTAAATGGTAATATCATATATGCAGTATGGTCTTATTTGTGAAAAATGTATATCTCCACTAGAAATGTATAAATTATAAACACTCACAGAAAACATATTTGCATATGTACACATACAGAAATTCTGAGAAGATCAAAGTGACTGTCTGAGTAATAACATCTCTGGTGATTTTAATTTTTGTTTAATGTGCTCATCTCCATTTTTCCAGGTTTCCTACGATGCATGCACACTACCTACTAACTACACAAAGGTCTTTAGTCTTGTGGTGGCAGCTGCTATGTGGCTGAGATCACGACTTTGAAGGTACATCCAAGGGTCAGATTCAAGGCTAGAGTGCCAAATGCAGCCCTCAGCCCCCTGTGCCCTTCAACACCTGCCCTTCTGGTCCTTTCTCTCCAACTACAACTCACTCTGGTGGCTCAGTATTGCCATGGCCAGTCTTGGGCAGAGATCAGGGGCAGATGGGGCAGCCTGCTTACTCACCTTTTTGAAGAGTCTGATGACATCCTCACTGATCTGGGAGAGGCGGACGATGACATTGTTCATGAAGATGTCATTGAGGGTGGCATGATCTCGGCTCTCCCTCCGGGTCTGATGCAGGACCAGATACCAACAGTTCACAGGTGAAAGGAGGTATTGGTCCTTCCTGTGAAAATAAGACAGCTCAGGTTGGCCTCACTGGAACCATCATCACACTGTTTTAGATTGTCACCACCTCATGGAACTTCAAGGCTGGTTTTATTATACTTTTTACAGCTGGGGAAACAGAGGCTAGGATCGCTGAAATGACACTTTACTGTCACAAAGCAGTGCTAGGGCCAGAACCCAGGTCTTTAACTCTTAAGTCCTGAACCATCTACCCTCCGCCAGAATGTGGTACATATACTACATATACCTCCACCTTCTGAGAAGAAGCTGTTTCCCCTAGGCCAGGGAATACTGTATTCAATCTACCTGTTTGATTGACACTTTCTCTCACCTCACCTGTCTCCCCAATCCCTTTGCCCTTCTCCAGGCATCTCTTGACCTCCTGGAAACATATGGCTTCACCCCTTGGTGGAGCTTCTGGGATGCAGGCCTGGAAGGTTCAGGTTCTGTGTTTGGGGGAGGGGTTGAGTACATACAGGACAAATCACTGTCCTGCAGTAACTGAGATTCCTAGCTGACTTCAGCTGAGCATTTACTAAAATGGCATCTCACAGTGCTCCCCAGATCAGTGGCACCAGCAGCCCCTGGGAACTTGTTAGAAATGCATATTCTATCATGTGCTCAAAGTCCAATCCTATTATTGTGTTTGCCCTTGATCTAATGTCCACATATGAGGGAGAACATACAATTTTTGGTCTTTTGGGCCAGGCTAACCTCACTCAGAATGATGTTCTCCAATTCCATCCATTTACCGGCGAATGATAACATTTCGTTCTTCTTCATGGCTGCATAAAATTCCATTGTGTATAGATACCACATTTTCTTAATCCATTCGTCAGTGGTGGGGCATCTTGGCTGTTTCCATAACTTGGCTATTGTGAATAGTGCCGCAATAAACATGGGTGTGCAGGTGCCTCTGGAGTAACCTGTGTCACAGTCTTTTGGGTATATCCCCAAGAGTGGTATTGCTGGATCAAATGGTAGATCAATGTCTAGCTTTTTAAGTAGCCTCCAAATTTTTTCCAGAGTGGTTGTATTAATGACCCAAGCCTTGTATGCACATATGAATAATAAAAGAAAAAAAAAGAAATGCATATTCTAACACTGCAGACCTGCTGAACCAGAAATGCTGGGATTGGACCTGGCAATCTGGGTTTTGACAAGTGCTCCAGGGGAATCTGACGTACACTCTGAGAACTTCTGACCCAAACACGACCGCCTCCTAAAGTAGTGAAACAGACCTGTCTCTTGTCTATACTTTACCAAGGCCCTTCTGTGAGCCTTAGGAAAGGGTGAGTATACCATACTCTCTAGGAAGGAAGGGGGTAGGGCAATTAAAAAATAAAACCCAAAAAGGGGTATAGTAGCACACATTTGTAATCCCAGCACTCAGGAGGCTGAGGCAGGAGAATCACAAGTTCTGGGCCAGCCTGGGCCATACAAGAGAATTCTAGGCCAGCAGGTACCACACAGCAAAACCCTGTCTCAAAAAAATCAGACTAATGATTTCATCTTGCCACATGGAGTATCTGCCCTGCTAGCTGCCTTGGCAATACCATAGAGTATTGCCTGGTTGTATCTGTCCCCTCCAGCTCCTGGGACTTAGGAAGATAGGTGAGGAGGGCCCACTTGACTTTGAGGACTTTTTCTTTCTATCACCAAATGGTCTAAAAATCTGTCTAGGTGGCAGGGATTTGGGAGAAGAGAATTCAATCTATCTGGAGGATGGCTATGCTGGGAACTGTCTAAGCAAAATGGAGGATGATAAATTATTTAAGACAATGCTTCCAGAGGAAAGAAAAACAGATTTTGCCTTCTTCCAGCCTAGAGAAAAAGCTACAACGCTAAAAGTCAACCCAAGCCAGAATTCCTGTGCACTGACTCCATGGAAGATCCTGGATGGGCTCTGGGTTCTCAAAGGTGGCTCGGTGGGGCTCACTTTCCAGTCACTGAAGCAGAAGGAGCTGGCGAGGTACTGCAGGTCTACAACAGAGATGCATGCAAGCATGGATTTTTCTGGGGAAGTTGCAGTAGACACTGCACATTCCTCCCATGCTCCTGGTGTGCCAGTCCCTTTTGTTTCCATGCCAGGTTCTTTCCCACTGGGACTTTCACACACACCCTTCCTGACACCTGGAACACACTAGCCTCTGCTCCTTTCCTGACTGCCTCATCCTCTTCTGTAGGCTTAGCTTAAATTCACCTCCCTAAAGAGCACTTCCTTGACCACACACTAAGGCAGTGGTTCTCAAAGTGTGGTTCCTGAACCAGCAGCCCTGGCAGACTTGGGAACTTGTTGGAAATACACAAGTTGTTAGAGCCACCACAGACCACTTAATCAGAAGCCCAGGGGGGTTGGCCCAGCACCTGCAGTTTAACAAGCCTCACAGGGATTCTGACGCATGCACAAGTTTGAGAATTTCTGTGCTATAGTATGATCTTAAGTGTGCCCCAAAGGCCAATATGTTAAATGCTGGGCTCCCTAGGGTAGCACTACTGGGAAGTGATGGAACCTTTACGAGGGAGGATCACTGGGGTATATATATATGAGGAAACTGTAGGACTCTAGCCCTTTTCCTCTTCCTAGCTATGAGGCTGGCAGCTTTGCTACACTGTGCACTCTCACCATTGTCTACTGCTTTTAGGCTCTTCTGGCCTAAAAACCCGTCTGCCAGATTGTGGACTGGAGCCTCCAAAACTGTCAACCAAAGTAACTCTTTTCTCTTTATAAATTGCTTATTGCAGATATTTGTTACAGTAACAGAAAGCTGACTAACACATTCTGCCTTCAGTTTCCATCTCCCATCCCTCACCTTACTACTCTCTTTGAGAGCAGGCACAATTTATGTTGTAGTCACAACAGCCAACACCCAGCAATGTGGCTACCACATAGTAGAAGCTACGGAGGAGAGACCCAAGAGAAAAGACCACATCTTGAAGGATGGTAGGAATTTTCTAAATTCAAAAGAGCAGAGAGAGAACGCAATTGTAGGTGAGGGAACTGTGGGCACAAATATAGTGAGAGCCTGAATTCTGAGTCTGTGGAGGATTGTTGGAAATGAGACTAGGAAGACAGGGAAGGGCCTGATTATAGATGGCATGGAATGCCAGGCTAAGGAGCTGAAACCTTATCTCAGGGTCACATAGTTCTGAATCTACCCTGAACATTAAAATCACCTGGGGAGCTTTCAAGGCAACTCCAAAACCAACTGAGTCAGAATCTCTGGAGGCAGAGCTTCGTTCTTGTACTTTTTAACACTTTTTAGAAGATTCTAATGTATAGTCAGAGTTAAGAATGCCTGCTCTAGGCTGTGGGAAATCCCAGAAGTTATTTAAGCATAACCAATGTGGTTTTTAGGAAGATCACAGGGGGAAGATTAGAGGGCGAGCGAGTGGGTACGTGGGTGGATGGATGGATGGATGGATGGATAGGTGGGTATGTGTGGATTATAAACATGGGGCTCGAGGCAGTAAGACAACTCAGGAGGGAATCTTAGTTCACGAGAAGAGAGATGATGTGATCTGGGTGGTAGCATTGTGGCCATAGAAGGCTAGACTTGAGAGACTCCAACAAGATAGCACTTCATCTGGGAGTCTTTCTGGAAATAGAAGAGGGAGGAGGAAGGAGTAGATGGTGATGCTGAAGTTGGCTCTCAGACAACTGGCAGGATGCTGATGACATGCATGGAATGAGAGATGAAGTGCAAAGAGAGAAGCAGGTTTGGGTAGAAAATATTCTATCCATTCCTTACTGCTTCCTGGGTGGTGATAGATATGGAAGAGCTAAAGGAGAGATGAGATAATTGTGCTGTCACTGAAATTTCTTTTGGGGCTTAGCTGAACCTGGAATGCAAAAACTGAATAGCCTCAGGGAATTAAATGTGCAAAAATTATGGAAGTCATAGCCAGAAGGTGAGTTTCAGAGGAAAGAAAAAAGACAAGTGATCTTGAAGAGGTTCAGAGGTACAGATGTAGCTTGGGGACCATTAATTAGGTCATCTGGCCAGAGAAACATAGTAAGAGGAAGGGCAGAAAGGAGAGTGCCTCTCTTATTAGAAACTGGGCCAGGAGCCAGTGCACAGTCCAAGACTGGACTGCAGAAGAGGCAGAAGGAGGAGGACTCATGGCAGGCAGCAAATGAGGACTTGTCATGTTGAAAAGAGTGATGGAAGGTGTGGGTCCATTCAGGTTTGCACTCCTTTGTTGTCTGTCTGTGTGTGCATGATGGGTACAACCAGCCCCTGCCCCCTGAGCATCCTTCTTGGGTATGGGAGGTTCACAGGTGAGCATTCCACTTGGGTAGGCAAAGTATGCAGGGAACAGAAAACAAAGGACAGCCTCAACCATGTATTCGTGGGAAGGAGGACTGCCTCCCCAGATCAGTGGTGTGGTGGGTATGAATGGCTTCCTGGAGGAAGCAGTTTCTAGACTGAGAACCAAAGGTTGGGCTGGAGATTACCAGGGACAAGCTTTCTAGGTGGAGAAATATGAAGACCAAAGGCCCAGCAAGCAGGAGGAGGTGGCATGTGGACTTGATGTAGCTTCGGGGGCTTCACATGCTGCTCTAGAGTGGGGTTAAGGGTGACAAATGAGGCTGAAGAGGCCGTACAGCACAGCACTTTTAAGTCTCATTAAGGATTGTGGTTCTAGGCCAGCCTTGGCAAAAAGTTTGCAACACCCCACCTCAATCAATAAGCCAGGTGTGGTAGAAGACATAGAAAGGAGGATTGTGGTCCAGGCTGACCCAGACAAAAACAAGAGACCCTATCTGAAAAATAACTAAAGCAAAAAATGATTGGGGGCATGTCTCAAGTGCCTGATTTACTAAGCATGAGGCCCTGAGTTCAAATCCTAAAAAAAAAAAAAAGTTTGAGGTCAGTAGGGAGCCACCAAAGGGTTAAGAGCACAAGAGTGAAAAGAT